CATTTATTATAATCTGTGCATAAAATCTTTTACATATAAATCCAAAGTTGCTATTAGCTTTATTGATTGGAATAATCACAGAGTTTTTGAATTTCTTTGATTTTTCTTTTAAAAATAGGAAAAGGAATATCTATAGCATAATTAGATAAATTTAAATACTTTTAACTTCTTTCTTATGTTATTCATGATAAATATTTTCCATTCAAAGAAGAATCTTTGGGGTATAAAGATTTTTTTTCTAATTTTTCTAATATATTCATCAATATTTTTTTTTCTATATTTTGTATTATTTCATTCTTTGTAGTTTTATTTAAGATTCTAAATTTAGTTCCTTTCTTTAGAATGTTTATAAGATCAATATCTCTGATCACATTAAATCACCAGTAATAATATGGTAATGAAAAGAATCAGTAAATGTATTACTATTACATTTGCAAGGTAAATTATCAGTATCTCTGGATTAAGATTTTCAATGAATTGTTTATAGTTAAAAGTAAAATGTTCTATCAGTTTATTGTATCTAAAGCTAACATATGGTTGTAATACTTTTATAGGAAATACTTTTTCTTGAACACTTTTATGTAAGATTGAAAGCAGAAAAGATCATCATACACTTTAATGTTTTAAATATATAACAATATATGATTTTTGTAGGTTGTCTTTTATAGTTTTTATCATTAGAAAATATATCTATATAAATATATCAATTTAATCTAACTTTAAATAAATCCAAAACAAGATCATTAATATGTAAATTTATAAATTCAAACGTATATGCAATGCCTAGTAAATATTTTATACTTTTCAAATATAATTCAAAAATATTTTTAATAATATCTTTAACAATATTATTAGTGTTGGTATAAACAGAATTCAGATTCTTACAAAATGTTTTGAAAATAATCCATTTTACATGTTTTTTACATTTCCCTCGTTTTCTAGTTTTTCTTATTGTAGACATCAATATAAAACAATCGTTGAAAAAAATTTGATTTACTTAAAGATTCAGTAGTTTTATTTTGAAATTCATGATTTAAACCATAAGGGTAAAGAGTTTATTATTTTAATATAAAATACTCTTCCCTTTCTGTTAGAATGTCAACATTGTGAACTTTTTCTAAGATAGTAATTTTAACATGACAGAATTCGTGCCTGTTAAAATGGTCTATTTCAGTTCAATGTGGGAAACCTTTTTTACTTTGCAATCTATGTAAACTAATTCTCAGATGTAAAGGATTTGTAGTTTGACCTACATATTTAAGATCGCATATACCACACGTTAATAGGTACATTAGATTAGCAAGAATCTTATGCAGCATATCCAAACCTTAAATGAAATTTAATTAAATGCAAGTTCATGAAAGAGAGAAAAATAAAAATTGCAGCCACAATACAAATATCCAACACCAGGACACAAATTATAAGGTGGGTCATTATGTAATGTGCCCTGGTTTTTTGAAGTACTGGCAGAAGAAAGACCCAAATTGCATTGGGGTTCACAGTCGATCCAGTTTAACCTCAACATAACCAGCCTCATATAATTAAAAAAAAAAATTCAGCAGATGTGGATACTCTAGCCAACCTTTCAATGTCTGCAGAAATTCTTTCCAAGGATCTTCAGTGATACAAGTCCTTTCTTGATTAAACCAGTTTATTCTTCCTTGATACAAACTTTTAATACACAGTAGTTCCACAATCAGTACGTTTCTTACCACTTTAAACTTAACAACTTTTATAATACATTCTATAAATCACAATCTCGATAACTTCACTCTCGATGAGTCCAAAACATACACTTTACAGCTCACTAGCTCAAAACTAACAGAATCATAAATTACATGGAACTCAAAGGAGCTACTGCTCCCTCTTCATTCACATCTTGGATTGGTTTCTCTGCTATGCTTACATACTAACAAAGAGGGCATCTTGATCACACTCAAACTTCCATGATCATTTGAGAAACACCAGAAGTGTCACGTGAATTCTGCTGTCATAACACTGCCCCTTCCTTAGTACTGTTCGTCCCGAACAATAGCCAATTACATTAAACCAATAGATAATTAACAATAACTTAATTAAATGTACAGAATTTACAAACACAAAATTAAAATACAACAAAGTCTCTTAATTATACAGGATGTTTCTTCTTTCATACTGGTCTCAGTCTCATTGGATTCTGCTTCACGTGGGATTCATCTGCTCCATTACTGGTAGCAGTCACATCAGTAGTAGTAACAAGATTAATGGGTTCACCATTTTCCCTTCTCAAAACCGGGTAGTTTCTTCTTCTTCGACAGTGGCTTTTTCAGGTGACACGTCTTCAACTGCGTCATTTGTTCTGTTAAAGTGTTCCAAGTGAAATGTCTTGGACCGTGATAATGCCAAAGGCTATTGGCATGCACCCTCCATTGGCTTACCTCGCCAACCACATTTTATTCGGAAAGTCACATCTGAGAGACGATCCACTATGTCATATGGGCCTTCTCATGGAGAAGACAACTTGGGAGACTTCCCTTTGGTCTTCCTGGGATTATACAACCACACCTTGTCTCCTGCTACAAAGCAGACTTCATTAGATTTCTTGTCATAACATAGCTTCATGAAATCAGCAGACGTTTTTAGGTTTAAACGCACTTGATGACGAATATCATCCATCCTTTCATATAACACTTTCAGGAACTACGGCACATTTTCAGGCAATTCTTCGTAAGGTGAGTGTCCTGTTATCAGGTCCACTGGCAACCAAAGTTCCTGAACAAACATCAGCTGTGCTGGAGTGTATCCAGTGGCTTCATGCTCTGCTGTTCTATAGGCCATCAACAGTGAAGGGAGTAAGACATCCCAGTCATCTTGAC